ACCAGTAATGCTCTATAATGAACGGCACGAAGGTGTTCGAGTGCCCGAGTTTTTGACGAAAGTTTTGAGGTCGACCCCCTTGATTACGTCAGTAGCCATCCCACCAGTAATGCTCTATAATCAACCGCACGAAGGTGTCCGATCGTCCAAGTTTTTACGTGCCTTTTTTGTTGAGCGTGCTTGATGACATCAGCAACCATCCCACCAGCAATGCTCTATAATCAACGGCACGAAGGTGTTCGAGTGGATTCCCAAGTTCAAAGGTTGTGACGCATAAATTGCATGAGCTAGCATATTTGATGGACAACTTGGCAAGTCAGGCTTTCAACTTGGCTACATCAAAACAGGTTATTCATAATCAACTTATGCAAGGCTCCTGAATTGGTTGACCATGAAGTGTTGTTGAGTTTGCAACCGTAGACCTGGCCTACGACTGTTAATTCAGTAGTGCATAAACGCTACTCGACTTCTTGACCAAGACTTTGGCATGGTGGCATAAATTCCATTTCACCCAGAAAAATGGGGTTGTACACGAGGTGTACATCATGGTTCACAACCATGATGTGTGGTATTGTAGACTTACTAGTCTCAACATTACGTGCAAATCCAATTGGTGAAAGCAAAGAGTCTTTGAAGGTTGTCATTGTAGGATGGTACATCCACAGGGTTGGTGAGATTCGTCCACACGCATACAAAATTAATACCAAAGTGAAGGGGTTACTAGAATGTACACCTAGGGCATCTAAGCTATCTCCGAAAACGAGGACAAATGTACATCCTAGGCTCCTCTGCTCTACCAATTAAAGCAAGAGCAAACGAAAGAAGGTCAATGGACTCTATGGGCGGGCGCAGATCGTCAATCATACTCGCACTTGAAGCCTATATAGCACGAGCTCCGCTGGGATGACCCGTCATAACGGCCGGCTCGCTTCGTTCTCGCGTAACCCTTCTCTCGCATCTGCCTAGCCAACTCCTCCTTGGCAATCTTGACCCCTGTGAATCTCTGGAACTGCGTCCAGAACTCGTCCTCCCATGTGACCGTCTTGGCATTGTCGGGCGTCTCCGACGGGTCGTGCACGCAGTGCTCCGATTGCAGGAAGATCTGCAGCTTGTCTCCGCGCCGCAGCCATGCCATTGAGGCCGCCTGGACGGCCGCCGGATGCCTGCGCAAGACCGTGGGGTCCTCGTACCAGGCCCGACTTCCCTGGACGAGGAACGTGAGGAACTCCTCGCGGACCGCCTGACTCTCCATCCGGCCCTTCAACCCAATGTCCACGTGCCTGTGGTTTGGGTTGGTCTCGTCAAACTTGTTCTCGGTCACGTACTCGTTTGGGAAGTGGACCACGATGAGGCGGCGGGCGATGTTTGGCTGCTTGGCTAGGGTCGGGGGAATTTCGGGGTCATAGTTGGTCTGGATGAAGGGCGTGTGGGTGAACCGGAAGGAGACGTTGTTTTGGTAGAGGAGCCGGGAGGCGACCATGCCCCCGCCGGTCATCATGAGCACGTTCCCTAGGTCGACGCGCTCTCCCGGGCTCGTCTCGTCCGTCACGGCCACCCGCTTTCCCTGGAGCTCGGCGAGGTAGCCCGTGGCAGCGCCCTTGGACGGCGGGTGTTGTCCGGGGGCCTTGACCACGGCGTCCTTGGAAATCACGCCGTAGTATTCGCCCAGCGTGATCTCCAGCATCTGCTTGCATACTCCCTTGCCATTCCCTGCACGGGAAAGGGGATGAAAAGCATGTGAGCGGGGCATCCGAAATGGACTAAGAGAATTCGTGATGGACAAACCAATCAAAGCAAAATGGGCGTGATTATTTATCCCAACGGATAAACAGTCAGAGATGGCTGCTGACGTCATTCTAGAGCAACAAAGCAAAAGGCAAGTGCTCAACAGACTGGGACACTCGAAACGTTCACGCCACCAATCGCGGTGGACTATTGGTGGAATGGCTGCTGACGTCATCAAGGGGGT